AAAAATCGAAAAAATACGGATTATAAGATAAGCGAACAAGGCCAAAAAATCAAATCTTGCACAACATAAAGTTTTTTCCTCCTCCATTAAAAGAAACACTAGAGACTATTAGCTTCCAGGGAAGATACAGACAATGGCTACACGGTAACACTTGTTCAAATTAGTTCTTTCTGTTGCTCAGTTAACAACTAATTAAACAGATGAAATTACATGGGCATATGATCATAAGCAGATCTTGTTTGACAATGGTTATGTACTGCCTTGCCCAAGATAGTTCCCCTCTTGAAAAAGAGTCTTCAGATTACTGCAAGGCATAGAAAAACAACCAGGCAGGTATTAGTGTATTACATTGGCATTCCAATGGAGATTCTATCTTTAACAAAAATCTTAACAACTATCAACTATGAGACATATAACACAAAAAAAGTCAGTGATGAAATTATGAAGTATTTGCAGATCCCTAATACAAGTGTCAAGTGATCGTAAAATTTCCAAGATGAATATTGTTTCTTTACACAAATTGCTTAATGGAAGTTTGTGTTTGGATTTTACTGTATCTACACTACATTCATGAACTTGCACCTTAACAGAAGATGCAGCTTAAAGGAATAATCTGCTCGTGTAGCCATTTGGGTAATTGAGTTTATTACTAATACTGATTCAGGGGAGGATATGACAGCTGGAAACAGTTTTGATACTATCAGATAGTGTTCAGTCTGAAGGTAAGAAGATTTTACCTTTGGAAGAACCCAAGGAGATAGCGAAGAATGTACCAAAAGAGGCAAACCATCAAAATATCTAACATAGTCAAGGGATACATTTATTGAAAAACTTTAGAGCTTCTGATATTCTTCAGTCTAGTCATAAGAGCACCCAAACTTCCATGAACCTACTAGAGATCATCAACAGGATTTGTGCATGTATTAACAAAACCTTTTTACCAATGATAGATATAAAAAAGACATGGAAATTAATTAACTTATACTAAATAAAAGGCTGTAAAATTTCTTGCACAGTTTCAGGATCAAGGAAATGGGGGCACTGTGTACTGTGGAAGTAAAGTTGCAAATGATGGGACCTGAACACTAGCATTTGTAGAACTAGGCATTGCAAGTTCAAAGTGACCAGGAAGAACATGCAGCATAGCACCCTTAACTGCAGGATAACCACAGTTGAGCACCATGACAAAGAGAGGGTTAGCGTGACAGATTCAGGGACACGAGGAATACTTTGTCTTAAACAAGGTTCAGGTCCCTAACCTTGCAGTATGGTGCAATGATATTTTTACATTCTTATGTTTTCTCTTCATTTCCCAAAAGACTTGACTAAAATAGAGCTACAAATCACTTTAAGTTTGTATTACTCCAGAATAATGAAGTAGAGTGCATAGGCTACGACTAGGTTGGAGCTCTGCTAATGATTGGCAGACAAACGCAAGATCTGAAGACTGCATGGTAATTTAAATTTCCTGAGCTTCCAAGCTAATATAAAAATTGCTAGAAAATTCACAATATCTGGATGTTTTGGTGCTATGAAACTACGGAGTATAATCTTATTACTAGTACAAAATTCCTCAAAGGAGGCTCCAGTATTCTGTTTGGCAACAATAATCTAAAGATGAGAAATTTCCACAGTTAAAGGCTGTAAACGGAATGGGCACTGACAGTGACAGATATCTAAATTCGATACATCCCAGAATATATCCTCACAGCTTTCTCAGATCTAGCAAAGCAAAACCAGGAGAAGACAACTAGACTGAGGCGGGCGCTAAAAGAATCAACTGATTTCAGGAGGCGAGGGGGAACACGACCGCAAGAGAAGCAATCGAGGGAAGGATACTGAAGAGGTAGCGCTCCCACCAATCGAGCATGTAGAGGCCGATGGTGACATTGTAGAGGTGGATCTTGCGACCGATCCAGATCCAGTTCATCCTCCTCCGCGACGCCCGGCGCCGCAGCTCGCCTCGTCCAGATCCGAAAGGAGCGGCGCCCTGTCTGATGCTCTATGACTATGAGGATTGAGGACGAGCAAGGCGGGCGTACTTCTCTTGTGGGTCATAGCTGATCTCAGCCGTTAGTTTTGTCATTGAACGCTGCAGATCAAAACCCATGGGTCCCGCTGATGCAGGAATTGTCGGATCTGTTGTAACCGGTAGGTCCTGGAGGTGGAGGTGGAGACCAGGTCAGCCTGGATCGAACAGTACTGAGTAGACTCGATGAGCTCTTGGTCCGTGGGTAATGGTACTGTGGCGCGTTTAGTTGTGGTGGAATGTAAAGTTTTTATAGTGTCGATTTTTACATTATAGTATTTTGTTTGTATTTGGTAATAATAATTGTCCAACCATTGACTAATTAGGCTCAAAATGTTGCTCGTCAGAAAGTACAACAAAAAAGCGTGCAATTAGTTTTTTTAATTTCTACTTTTAGTAAAATACATATCATGAAATTTGATGTGACGGGGGGAATCTTGATAAGTAGTGTCAAAGATGGAAGTTTGGGAGGAACTAAACAAGGGCTAGCTCAAACTCTATCATATACCCTGTACGTTAATTTCGACGATGCTTCCACACGGGCGTCCATCCGCCCGTCCGTCCGGACACCTCGAGCCACACTCCGCCTCGCGCGCTTCCGTTGGCGCTGCTCGCTCTCGCCTGCGAAGCGCGCCGAGAGCGAGCAGCGCCTCCACGACACTTGCTCCCTCCCATCGCTCATCCCACCCGTCGCACGCCGATCCGCGTGGATTCGACCCCCGCGTTGTGCGGCCCGCTCGCCGTGGCCATCCCTCGTCGCGCCCTATCCTACGTGCGCGATGCCACTGCTCTCCCCATCTCTCAATCTATATCTCGCGTCAGCAAAGCGCCTCCCCGGCCTTTTCCCCAACCACCAACACCACCAGGATGCCTTATCGCAGCCGCCATTGCCGATGGCCGCTGGGCGCACATGCCAAGGCGCCTCGGGTCATCCTCAGCCGAGCCAAGGGCGCCCACGAGTGAGCTCGGATGGTAGTGGTGCTCGTGGGCCACCGCTCGCCGCCGGCTTCCACCTCGACAACTGGAATCGACCGGCCCAGGCCTCCCTCCCTATGTTGCAAATGTATATTTCAAGTGTTTTAAAAGTTTCAGAGGTATGTTGCAATTGTTTCATATGGACATTGCAAAAGCAGATCGGGAATGTTTCTATATGTTACAAGTGTTTCATAGGCATGTTGCGAGCGTTTGTTCAAAATATTTCTTATGCTCCATACGTATGTTGCAACCGTTTTTATTGGGATATAGCATATGTTTCAAGAGTATGTTTCATATGTTTTAGTATTATGTTGCAGCAAGTGTTTTCATGTTGCAAGTTATAAATGTTTTATCTAGATGTTGCATATGTTTCACACATATGCTACAAGTGTATGTTTCAGATCTTTCTTCTGTTTTAAACATATGTTGCATTCAAGTATTTTATGTTGCACGTGTTTCATGTTGTTCAGGAGAGTTAGGGGCGGGAGTGATGGTGGCATGACACGAGCGCCGGAGAATGGGGCGTGGCGAGCCGCAGACTTGGCGTGCGGCGCATTGGGGGACGGTGGTCGGGGCGCGACTGGGTCGGGGTGCGCGTGTGGGGCGGGGCGAACGGCTAGGCGAAATGGGCAAGTCGAATCGAGGCAGACGGGCGGATGACCGCAGACGACGGGCGAAGTCGTCCGGGGCAAAGCAAGCGGTTTATTGTGGTCAAAAGGCGTCTTTGGGTGGGACGAATTAGTGGACGGGGGACATGCTGCACGGATGTCCGGACGGACGTCCTTCCAAACCATCGGGCGCTAGCCATGCCACAATAATTTTAGCCTTCCAGGAGTAGACGGTAGTGCATCACACATCAGTCATACTGACTTTGTGAGCATGTCCCATAGAAGAATGTTAAGCGATAGAGATTGAGGGATATTTAGATCCAGTGACTAAAGTTTAGTACCCTATCACATTGGATATTTAGATGCTAATTAGAACGACTAAATATAAGTTAATTATAAAACTAATTACACATATGGAGACAAATTTACGAGACGAATCTATTAAGCCTAATTAATCTATCATTATCATATGTTTATTGTAGCAACATATTAACTAATTAGACTTAATAGATCCGTTTCATAAATTAGTCTCCGTCTATGCAATTAGTTTTGTAATTAGTCTATATGTAATATTCTAAATTAGTGTCTAATATTCTAAATTAGTGTTTAAACATCCGACGTGACTGGAGAAGGGTATCAAACACCCCCAAATCGTACAAGTTCTCGCTCATATTTACTCGCCCATCTTTGCGCTAGCTGCTCGCAGCTAGATCATGGACCCGCCACCGCCGGTGCCTCCAGCAGTCCAGCCGCTTCCACAAGCAACCAGTTCCGGGTCTGTTCGGCTGGTATTAAAGTCAGTTAATAAGCCGGCTGTAGCTGTTTTATTGTGAGAGAAAAATACTGCAGATTCTAGCTGATAAGTTGGCTGATAAGTTTAAGCGAACAGGAACAGATATACCCTGTATGTTAATTTCGACGATGCTTCCACGCGGGCGTCCATCCGCCCGTCCGTTTGGACACCGCGAGCCACACTCCGCCTCGTGCGCTTCCGTTGGCGCTGCTCGCTCTCGCCTGAGGCTCCGGGGAACGACTAGCGAGAACGTAGCGAAGCACGTTTCGTGGAGCACTCTCGTGTTTTGCAAGCGAGAACGTAGCGAAGCACGTTTCGTGGAGCACTCTCGTGTTTTGCAGCCCTGTACCTCTGCACGGCCGCGCAACTGCGCAAGACTGAGACACCCTTGCTGTAAGTTGGAACTTCCGTCGACCACGGCCATACAAGCCTTTAGCAGGACCAGCAAATATTCCACGTCAATTAAGGATTATAACTAAACATAGTGGGGGCAACGCCGCAACGCAATAAGCAGAAGTGCAAGCTCAACATTCAAGGATCAAAATACTGTACATGCTCCGGTTAACAAACTAATGAAAGTCACATGAACGTCAGTTCAAGATAACCAGTTAATCCTCCAAAACATACATAAGCTACAGTTTTCAACAGACACGTGGCTTCCGTGAACCCAGAGAAAAGGTATAGCTGCAAGTTGACTGGTTGGGCGATCATTCGGGTTCCTCAGCACGATGATGACCGAGTCGCCCCTGAGGAACATCTTGCTGATGAATCTATCCTTGTTCACAGGCAGAGCCTTCTTTTTGCCCTTGCCAGTCTTGGGGACCTGGAAAGAAATGAATCCCAGGTCAATTGCACTTTCACAAATTAAAATCTTCTAGGATCATGAGAAACAATCAGTTTGATAGCTGAGTTCATTACCTCTGTCCACATCTCCCGCACGTTCTCGAGCACCATGTTACAGTGGCGATCAAAAGCACGAACCCGACCAAGTAGCTTCTTGTTGTTGCGGCAATTGATGAGCACCTGAATACATCAGGAAATCAGTTTTCGCTTTAATGACTAATTACAGACAAAATATAGCAATAGGACATAAAATGGTGAGAACATGCTTAAATATCAAATTATTCCAGAGAATAAGATCAGGAGATGTACAGCAAAGCAACTACTACTTTGAACACAGCATGTATAAGCTGTAGAATTAACTGCAGCATTCATGAAGACACAGAAGATAGTGTTTTTAATGCAACAATGGATATTAAGGTTTTGATTGGGAGCAAAATGGCAGAAACAAGTGCATAACAGAAGCTGAGTCATGTATAGTGTCATTCCCATTCAGCTTCAAACTTGTATGGACACTAATAGCACTATACATGACTCGATTTCTGTTAAGTACCTGGGTGACTCAGCTTCTGTTAAGGTGTCTCAAACCTGTATCCTCAAACTTGTATGGAGCCCAAAGAACAAAAACTAATAGCACAGTGCACATAAGTTTCTAACTAGAAGGAAAGTAGGAAACAGTATAAATTGCATACTTGGGTGTTGTTCTTAACACTTATCATTAGGACTGACAGAGGGCCTGTGCTAAATTCCTCCTCCTCTTTCTTTCCAGCCTGCTGTAAATAGTTAGAAAAGAGACAGTGTTAGCCATCTCTTTGTATTGACAAAGGTGAGAAATGCAACAGACACAAATTATGTGATTCTACCAAAAACTAAAAAGTGGAATTCTCTAACTTCTCATCATTACATCTACGCTCATGAAGACAGCATTCGAAATTTTGGTCAGATACACCCAGATCTTGAAAAGCTGGTCAAAAAGCAATCTGGAATTGTGGATCATAACCAAAACCAAAAGTTTTGGATCATTTACAGGGTTCAGACCAGATTTGCAACTGCAATCACAACAATAGCATCTGGACTATTTAACTGACTGATGCAGCAAATAATCTTAAAGTCCTTGACTATCTACTAACATTAATGGCCTGTTCGCTTGTCTTATGAGCCATATTTTTTCAGCGAACGAACAGTTTTTTTTCTCACAACAAATCAGCCAACAGTACTTTTCAGCCTGGCTTATCAATTACTGTGAGTCTGGGACCAGTTCTGCCTTACTTGTTAGTTCAAACAAATAGTGATGCTTCTCTTGCGAAAAATATAACACACATATGTGGCAGATAAAATAATTCTAAGTGCGTAGAAATAGCACCTTGCTTCAAACAATTGAAAGTAACAGTTAACAATTGACTAAGTACTTTCAACAAATATACAGACTGTTCGCTTGCTCGTATCTGGCTTATAAGCCATGGCTTATCAGCCAACGAACAGTATTTTTCTCTCACACCAAACCAGCCAATAATACTTTCCGCCATGGTTTATAAGCCAAACCAGCCCAAACGAACAGGACGATAATTGTTGGGATTAGACAATTCAAAAGGTTCTGACGTAAAAATTCAAAGGTTCTACCTCAAGTCCTCAACTAGCTAGCTAGCCTAGTTCTAGGGTAAGGAAAACAAGATCCAAAAATCAAAGCTAAAAGCTTTCCAGAGTATCTTAAACTGAAATTCTAACCTAAATAATGGGGTTTCCCCAGAGAAAGTATAACAGCAAATCGAAACAAGGAACCTGCATCTTTAAATAGGTCCAAGGGAGGAACTTACATTCTCATCCGCCATTGCCTAGCCTCCGCCCTCCTGCGCTGCGAAGGGGAAAACAAAGAGCAGCCCAGTTAGCCAAGCTGACACGCGCGAAAAAAAACACAAACGCAAAGGATCTAGACGATTTGCACCCAGGGGCGGACCTAGTAAAGGACATGGGTGTACACATGTACACCCAATAATTTTTGCAATGCAACTGAAGTTAGTAGGCATATACATACACCTGTAATTAGATTCAGATCCGATTACGAATAGTATGTTAGGGTTTGGGCGCACGGCTTCGCACAGCAGGAAGGGAGGGCCAAGGGGAGGGAATACCTGGTGTCCTGGTGGTGCTTGTCGCCGGCCAAGGTGGCGAGTGGCGAAGTAGGATAGCAGCGACGGTCACGGGGGCGAGTGGCGAGTGGCTGCGGAGGGCGGACGCTGCGATGGAACCGGTCGCGAGAACGCTGGGCCCCAGGTGGTGCTCGACCGAGCGCAGTCTCCTCTCCGGGTTGCGGCGTGGCGAGGCGATGGAGGAGATCGGCCGCGGGCGAGACGAGTTCAGGCGGCGGGCCAAACGTTGAGCAAAGTTCGAAAAAACGGCGGTATCTATACGGTGACCTCGCCTACTTGCTCCCTGTCCCAGAATAATTAAGAGTTTCTTTTGTTCAACTTATATATAATATAACATGTGTTTATACGAGTTAAAATAGTTTTTATCTAGCGTGATACAATGTCCTATTTCAAAATGTATTGAAGGTATTGACTCGTTTATATGATCTGGACTCATAAGCCATGCTCATATATATTTCTCTGTCACCTCGTTCTACTACTTTTTTAGATCTATCAGCGAGTTCAAATTGAAGTGCATCTGCAGTTCTATTTGTTTTCCTATTCCTTCTTTCCCGGTGAGACTAATCTGACTCTAAACTTCAGACAAAAAGAACAAAACATTACCGAGACAAAAGAAAAAGATCCGAGTCCAAGAAAAAAAAAGAAGAAGAAAAAAGGAAAAAAAACATCGGACAAAAACTACAAAAGAAGGAAAGCAGAAAAAGAAAAGACATTATCAACCTGTTCGCTGGTTGGTTTCTAGGCTGATAAGCCCGGCTGATACTGATTTATTATGAGAGAAAAATATTGTTGACTGGCTGATAAGCCCTGACTAAAACTAACCAGTGAACATGCTAAACCACGGAAGAAGAAAATCTAAAAAAAAACATCGGACAAAAATAATCTACCTAGGAAAAAGCCGAACGGCCGGGTAGAAACAGGAAAGCGCAGGTGAAAGAAAAAAGAAAAAAACTAAAACCAAAGAACCCTTGTTTAATATTACGATAAGAAAGGTAGAAACTACATATACATCTCTATTTAGATTAGAATTTCTATTCAAATTTAGGATTTGAGAAATCTATTTGATTAAAATTTCTAGCTGTCTATATATAAAACAAGAGGGCTGCAAACAAATAAAGATAGTTTGGACCAACGACTCTGGCTGCGACATGCACCCGGTTCGGCTCTTCAACAGCCGTGGGTACTGACCTGTTTTCTTCACCTGTTTTTTTATGTAGTGATACATCATGTCAATTCATGGAGCGGTGGAGGTAGTAGTAATGGCTTGTGATGTAAAATATGAACTTTTGAGTTGTGTTTGGCTCTTCAACACCTGTGGGTACCGATCTGTTTTCTTTACCTTTTTTTGCAGTGATACAGCATGTTCCTACCCGTGACAGCGAGTTGGTGGACTCAGGGTGTTCATGCTCTTGGAATGACGTTTTTACGAGGAGGACGCTCGTGGAGGCGCTTCTATATGACTTGGGGTGTGTGTACTATTGTTGCCACGGAGCGAGGATTGGAGACGACGGAAGCGTGAGGGCTTGAAAGGCCTAGGCCTTTGTTTGGGTTTTAGTAATTAATGATAATATTTGTGGACTAACTTCTCTATTTGTGTATGTGAAGGAAAGTTGGTTTAGTTCACAAGTTGGATATTGATATGGATTTGATTTTTAGCACGTTGGAATTGCTCAAATCAAACATAGCAAGCAAGTGAAGACCGAAGCAAGATTTGGCTACGATGGACCGTGTGCTACGCGATGGTGAAGGGCAAGCTAGTGGGCTTGGCGCCGATAGACCGAGGTGATGGGAAGGGCAAAGTCGAGAGGCTTTGGAGCGACGGACTGCACGTGGCGGAGAAGCTTGAGCGAGACTTGGCGCCGAAGTACCGAACAACGGTGAAGAGCAAGTAAAACCAAGGTCGATGGACTTGAAGTCTATGTGATGGTTTGAGTGATCCACATCATCTATGAAGATCAAGCCAAAGATTCATTGTTCATGTCAAGTGGCTTGGTGAATATATCGGACAACATTTTCCTTACGGGCATCAAATTTGTGGTATTTGGGTTTGTGCAAGGCAAAGGTATGAAACATAGGGTGTTTCATTTTACCGGCTATAAAGTGTGTCGAGAAGATTAAGATAGCCGGATTTAGGTTTGATAGTCGTACTATTAAGAGGGGCAAACGTGCTTTGCATTACGGTTATCTAGTGCCACTTGTGAGCTCTAACGTGAGATACGGTTAGTGGTGAGTGGCGAAAAAGTTAAAAACCTTTGTGAAAAGTTTGTCAAAAGCTAACCGATGGCGAGTTAAACGATCGTCTTGCGGGAGATCGCTTCTTAGTGTTGGCTTTCATTGAAAAAGGTTTTGAGAGCGCTAGTACTAACTCTGGAATGCTTTGGAACCCTCTATTGTGACGAAGAGTGGTGGTTCAAAGCAAGGAGAAGAAGCGCATGGTGGTGGTGTTCTCTGCCTAACCACGGACTGTCTGGGATTGTGCTATGGACAGTCCGCCGCTACCAGCTGAAGAACACAACAGATTGGAGAGCAATCTGTTCTGGGGCTGCACGTGAACGGCGGACAGTCCGCGCTAGGGCGGTGGACAGTCCGCCGGCTATTTTCTCCGGCAAGCAGTGGCGCTGAACATTCTGTCCAAGGCATTGGATGTCAATGGTGGATAGTCCGCCAGTCAAAAATTTGAATCCAACGGCTAGTTGAGTGAATGGCGGACTGTCTGATGTTTGTACTGCGGACAGTCTGGAAATGTCGTTTCAGCACAGTAATGGCTAGTTTTTAGGTGCCTCTCTATATATAGTGGGGTGCCTGGTTGGATAGGGCTCTCTTGGCCATTCTAACAGCATACTCTTTTGGAGAGCACCTTTCTAGCACCTCCTTTCATACTCCTTGCTTGAGGGCAACATTTGGAGAGTGAGTGTGCTCCACTAGTGCGAATCTTTGCGTGAGAGATTGCTTGTGGCACTAGGTGGTCGTCATGCGATTGCGGTTGCTTGTTACTCTTAGAGCTTGCCGGTTCCTAGACAGCTTGGTGATTGTGTCTTCGTGAAGCACGCAAGAAGGATTGTGTGCGGTGCTCCGGAGTTAGCTTTGTGAGGGGCTATTGAGCTCATCCCCGCCGGAGGAAGGCAAAGTGCATCTCTAGTAAAATCGAGGCTTGTGTGGGTGTCTAGTTGATTTGGCCGGCTCAAAGTTTAGTGCTCATGTGGATCCTACCTAGTGAGGTAGTCTGAAGCTTGCGGGGTTGGAACTAACAAGAGAAGCAACAATCCTAGAACTCGCCTCAATGTGGACTAAGTGACCGGCAAGTCACCGAACCACAGAAAAACATCATGTGTCATCCTCTTCATTGTGGTTTGCTCATCTCAACACAAGTTTACTTCATTGCAATATATATTGTGCTTGTGTTGTTAAGTTTACCACTTTATCACTAGTATGTATAGGAGCCCCGTTGCGCTCGCTCTTGTTCTAGTTGCTTAGATTGTTTGATCTTGCCAATTAGAATTGTGTAGGTGAGCTCCCTTTAGCTCAGTACCCTTAGTTGCTCTCTAGCTAAATCTTTTAAGGGTGCTAGCAAATTTAGATAGAGGGTGTAGTCGAGGCTAGATCGTTATTTCACTTCCGTTTTTAAATTGTCTAGCTCTTGTGATTACTTTTTTTTAGAAACGACTATTTACCCCCTCTAGTCGGCCATCTCGACCCTACAAAGCGTTGCTGTGAAATTGATTTAAGTCATTGCCTTTTGCACAACGAATCGCTTAATCTTATTTCGATTATAGACTCGTCATGGCTGGGGAAAGGAAAACGTCTCAGACGTATGAGCCGTAATATAATGCTTGTAGCTAGCCAAATGGAGGGAGTATATTTTTATGGGTTCTCAAATAAAAGCAATTATTTAACTGTAGCAGCACATAGATGGTTTAATAAAAGTTATAGTATATTTACATCAAAATATCGTAACTGTATTTTAATTCAATTACGTTTAGTTTTTCCCTGTTACAACATGGGCATATTTGCTAGTATATAAAAGAATATTAATATTTATAATATATAATTAGTATCATTAGATAGATTGTTGAATATACTTTCATAATAAACTTATTTGGAGATATAAATGTTGCATGCATTTTCTATAAAAAATAGTCAAAGTTAAGAAAGTTTGACCTACACGTATCCCATAGCGACTCTCTTTGTGGGACCGAGGGAGTAGATGCGCACCTAGACATTCTGTGTCATATTGTCGCAAAAAAGACATTCTATGCCATAAACATCTATGTATATTATTATTATTATCTTAAATAAAAGAAAAATAAAAAATTGTGGACTTAAAGTTATACACATTGTCCTTCTCAACCTAAGTCACCACTCCATCCAACCTTGCGCCAGTTTATGCCTCCTCTCATCCACGCTCCTCGCCCGCCGGCGCTGCCTCTATCTCCTCTAGGCCGCACCCGTCGCCTATGCAACCTTGTGCCCATCGCCTCTGTTCCACCCTCCTCCTAGCCTCCGCCCGCTACCTCTAGTTGCACCCGCAGTGCGCCTTCCTCCTAGACGCGCCCACCGCTAGCCTCCTCCTGGCGCGCTCACCACCTCCGCCGCCACCTGTCGTCTTCCCTCAAGCAGTGCAGCCCTGGATCTGGGGCACGTCGTCTGCCTATCCCCTTGGGCGAGGCGATGCCCCTCCGCCT